GACTCCCACACCTCCTCCTTCTCTTCCTCTGATTTGGCTGCTGGAGGGGCCAGCAACCGACAGGTCACAACAACCAGTTTCATTCTATATTATGTTCTTGAGGACTGACAATTGGGACTCATCAGATATGGGTAGACATCTTTTCTATAAGGTTCAACCCTCTGCCAGGTATTGAATTAATGGACCATGTATTCATTAAAATGACAACATACAGTACATTAACTTTAGAAGCTATTCAGGTCCTAGTGCTCAGTGCTGCTGCAAGAAGGGATATATAGAATCTATCAGAATGGTATATACAGTGCAAATAAGCTTTCAGAGAGAAAGAGAAAGATTACATTATAATGTAACATGGCCAACTCTAACATCTATATCTCTCTGAAACTATAGAGGGAATAGGGATGGAATAGGGATGGAACAACTGCTACTAAGACAATGATAAGTGGGGCACGAGTCCAGCTCAGGAAAATAACTTGAGAAAATATCTCAAATCCCTCCAGGAGGGCAAAGTGTGAGAGGGAAGGACTATACAGTCATACTTCCAAGATTCTGTTACTATAGATGTTACAATAAAAGTAGTCCTAACCTACAGTATGTGGCTTTGGTTTCTCAGTCTGGTCTATGCTGTAGGGATGACAAAAAGCTTAAAGGAAAGTGCATTGTATAGATCATTCAGACCACGTGATCAAGTTGACAAAGGCTTCAGTGATGTGATTCCAAATCTTTTCCTACTGGTTCTATGAGAGAGTGCTTCGCGCATGCACGCAACGTTCAAAGACCACCCTTGGTGTCAGCGCTAGTGAGATGGACTGTTTTTTTAGCTCAGCTGAGGCACGGCAATCCGCTCTGCCACGTGAATCAGCTGAGCTAAAAAACAAGGGAATATAGGATAGGGAATGGTGGGGGTGGAGGGCGGGGCCAGCCAGAGGTGGTATATACTGGTTGTCCGAACTACTCAAAATTTCTGCTATCGGTATGCCAGAACCGATCTGAACTGGCTGAATACCACCTCTGAAAGGCTCCCTCCAAATGGCCAGAAACAAGAAAGACAATGCTGATCTATTGATCTCCCAATCCTCCTGTGTTGCTACTGAGGCAGAAACAAATTAGCTCCACTCCCCAAGGCAGAAGCTAATATAGGGATATGGGGAGTACAATGTTGACCCAGGAGTGATATCAAAGCAATCTAGGTTGTCTCCTTAGCTGCTATTCACCGATGTCCTACAGTTGCAAGAAAAAGTATGTGAACTCCTTGAGATTACGTGGAGTTTTGCATGAATTGGTCATAAAATGTGCTC